GGGGTGGGTGTGGACCTGCGCCCCCCGCGCCCAGGCAGGTTCCCCCTCAGGGGTCGGACGGCGCATGGCTGTGGTCAGGGGAGAGCCAGGCCGGCCCGGCGGCCTCCCCCGCCCCTGTCAGCACCCTGTCCTCTCTGCCCTGTCCTCCAGAAGCACATCCTCTTCCTGACCAACGACTACTTCTTCACAGACATCAAGGAGACCCCTTTCAGGTGAGGAGCTGGGGGGGTGGACTGCTAGGCTTGGACGACAGCACGGGCTGGCAGTGTTGTGAGAATTTTCCAGAAACCAGGTCTAGGCCTCCTTGCCAGACTAGTCAAGTCCTGCCAGCCTCAATCTCGACTCCATCACTCGGAGGCTGAGTGACCTTGGTGGAGCCCCTTGACCTCTCTGTGTCTTATGGGGGGTGGATGGCGGCTACTTCCTGGCAGGGCTGGGGAGGAGGGGGTACACTGGCGGTCTCCTGGTGCAGATCTTTGCCTCTGTTGCTCCCCAGTGAGATGTCACCCCTCCAGGGGTTGTGACAGTCCAGGGGGCTGGTGCTCCCTGGGATTTCTAGAACCTTCTCACGAAGACGGGCTGTGACGGGCAGGGTGGCAGAGAGGGTCCCGGTGGGAGGGATGGTGTCAAGTAACCTCTGCTCCCCCCAGCTTGGGTGTGGTTCTGACCCGGGGCCACGGGGAGTACATCCTTCTGGGAAACACGTCGGTGGAGGAAGGTGAGCCCAGCCTCCGGCGGGCCGTCCTGTCTGTGCGGCACACCCGGCGGCCGCCACCCCCAGCCCGAGGGCACCGTGTCCAGGGCCGGGGCCTGTGACCCTCACAGCCCGGCCTTCCCATGCACCACGCCAGGCCCGGTGTCTTCAATCCCAGCTGCACTTGGCCCTTAGGAGGCGGAGGGAGGAGGGAGGGGGCCGGGGAGGAGGGGGCCCCGGGACATGGTCCCAGCCACTTGGGATAACGGCAGTTGGCACAGGGGGTCTGGCTTGAACCCTGGGGGGCGGCAGAGGCGTGGGCAGCGTGG